ATGATCCAAAAATAAGCTCTGAGAACAGAATCTGAGAGAAGGGGGGGGGCACAAATGAGCCATATTGCTAAGTCATTAGGTCAATTGTTATAATACAATGTATCTGTGCTAAAAATTTTGATATAGGAGATGAAGGTTAATATTGGTCTTGTATTGTCTCATTTGAGCTGGTTTCATCATTCATTACTTAGATACCTAATTGCAATTTTGAGTAAAGAAGTATAGATCTTGTAACAGGTATTTTTCTTAATAATATGAGACCCAAGATATGGAGTATACATATTTTTCAGTCTCTTTTACATAATGAACAGATGCAGAAAATCAAAATTATAACTAAAATATTTCTAAATTTTGCTGATAGAAATTGCCTCATACCACATATTATGTACACAGGGTGAAATCCTTTTCATATGCAAATACTCACATTGCCAGTAGACCATAGCAGGCTTGAGGGGTATTTAAAAATTTTGCGATTTGTTTAATGGCTTTTTTAATTTCATCATTGTTATGATTATTTCATTATCAGAATTTTCCAAAAATAAGTTGTTAAGATATGATGTGCTAGAAAATGCTACATGGATAAGTGATTATTATTTGGATCTTCTAATTAATTTGTATTATGCCAGAATTAAACATTGGTCTGGTAACAAAAGACGGTATTATAAAGTTTTTGGAACTTGAAATGGTCAACATCATTTGTAGGTCACGAGTTTTAACTCGCGATCTCATTAGTCAAAAGTTTTTGGCACCCTAACAAAGGGGATTGTAAGGGTTTTTATGTTAAAGGCTTTTTTCTCAACAACCTACTAATCTTTAACCACTTATTAGGTTCCACAAATTCAGAGGTAGGCTGTCAAATTTGTCGTGATAATGTTGCCCCTTATTAAGACTTTTTGATTTTTGATGTCACAAAATAATTTTGTAATGATTAAAAAAGTTTAAAAAGATTAAAACAATTATATTTTTACTGTTATGCTAATTTTTTTGTACTCTTTTTTTGAATACAGAATTTGGAGTAAAGGAACAACATAGGTTGGCTTAAGTTAAACACAAACCCCTTTAGAGCCTTTTAACATCAAACTGGTCATTACTATCACCATTAGCATAGCCATTTCTTAAATACAAGTTGGATAAGTGTAAATTATTTGGATCTTAATTGATTCGTATAATGCCAGAATTAAACACAGGTTAGGTGACCACTGTTTGTTTTATTATGTTTTAAGGATGTTTTAAGTAAAATAGTAGTGAATATTCTAAAATTTTTGTCCCCCTGTAAAGAGATTCATGTCTTTCACAGGGTAAAATCCTTTTATATGCAAATACTCACATTGCCATTAGGCTAAAACAGGTTTGAGGGGTATTAATTTTGTCATTTTTCTAACTATTTTATTATCAAAATTCCCCAAAAATTAGTTGTTGAGATATGATGTGCTAGAAAATGCTATGGGAATAAGTGATAATTATTTGGATCTTCTAATTAATTTGTATAATGCCAGAATTCAACACAGGGCAGGTAACAAAAGTCAGTATTATAAAGGGTTTGGAACTGAAAGAGTTGATTACGTTTGTAGGTCACGAGTTTTAGCTCGCGATCTCATTAGTCAAAAGTTTTTGGCACCCTTACAACAGGTATTGTAGGGGTATTATTGTAATGGTCTTTTTAGCAGCATGGCATTGGCGGTACGCATGATTATAGTCCTGAGACAACTGGCACTGCCAACTGGCACCTTTGCTGTCAAAATTTCCCATTTTCAAAGCCTAGGGTCTAAACATATTGTCTTCTATCACAGGGCCATGAAAACTTTAGTGGATACTATAGATGACAAGCTGTTGGTGCTGTATCAGAATGGGTTGTCCATGATTGCTGAGGTAAGTTTGATCTGTGGATAGTAGTCATAATAGTCAATGGAAATTTCTTAAATTTTCTCCATTGTTATTTTTAACTTGAAAGACTTAGGTGAATAAACTTTTCTTTTTTTTTGTTTATTCCTTTTTTTTATTAATGTTCTTTTTTGTGCAGAACCTTTATTGAAAAGAATGTAGCTTTTTTCATAGAGTGTCAAACATTGAATAGGCTTTATAACTGGACTTGATATTAAATGAACAGAGTATGCAGCCTAATCTTGAGTTACATAATTATGTTATTGGTATATTGAGTAATGTATTGAACTAAATGACTCGCCCACCATCTTATGTATTACTGCCACTTACATGATAGGCCTTGAGATAAATATATTGACATGCACCATATTTTTGATCCCAGGCATTCCAGATGTTGCATATGATGTACCATGAGGCCACAGCCTGCCATGTGACTCAGGATCTGGTGGACCTCCTTACTATACTGCTGGGAGTATTGAAAACTGCCAGACAGTATGTGGACAGGAGACGTAAGTATGAATACTTGGATCTCATGGACCTCTGCATTGTATTTCTGGGTGTCTTGTCACTAAAGTAAAGATTTTATTTTATTTATTTATTTATTTATTATTATTATTTTTTTGTATTATTATTATTATTTGTGTGGGGGGTGGGGGGTCTTACTCCAAAAAATATAAGTAAGTGAATCAAAATGTTTCCACACATGTTTTACTCCCCATGATAATGTTCCAGATGCAGAAGTGAAGAGCTGCCTCCACAGTTGGAAGGATCGTATGGATCTGGTGAGGAAGCTGTTGACCCTACTCAATGCTTACACCCCTCCAGAAATAAGACAGGTGGCAGTGGGTGAGTATGATAAGATCAATTTCAGTTTTAAATGAAAGACAAATTGCAAATGAATGATTTTGATCTAAGATGGAAATGTGTTAAAATGTCCTCAAAATCTAAATGGGTTATTTTCCTCCAAACAATAACATTGAGTGCATATTGAACACATTTTTTGATGGAACTGACAAAGTACAGTTGTACTTCCACTTCAAGCACTGAGAAATCAGTAGAAGAAAAAGACTAAATGGGAGACCCGTTTTTAGGGGTATTTTCTTCCAGTAATATGCCAGACCTCAAAATATAATGTAAAGAGTTTGCCCAGTATATTAGCTAGTTCTTAGGTTTAAAGCTGAGATTTAAATTTACTGACACGAGTATTGCTTACATCAAACTTTTTATCTCTTTATCTCTTACTTCAGATGTTTGTAAAGAGATGCTGCTTCTGTACCAGAGTGAGTGTCTGCAGACTGTGGTACCCATCCTTTCTCACGCACATAGTTCATTCCAGGAAAATAACGTACCAAGTAAGTACTGCACATTATGATAATAGCAACATCTGTACACATGGGTAAACAATTGGATTTTATGCAGATTCTAGTAAATCATTGTGGTAAAAGTAGGTAATGGCTTTCCCCTTGCTTAGCACTTGGCTTGTATATAACAAAAAATTAGCAACTTATTCTGCATTATCATTTCTGGATTAAGATTATTTATTTAGATATTTCACCGAGTCAGAACAAGTTCTTATTACCTTGCCATATGTAAGCCATACTACATTGTAGTTTTAACTATACCCTGAGTAAACCTCAAAATGACCAATAACAGTGTGTGATTGTTTAACTGTTGTCATTCTTTGCAACATGTGAATCGAATTTTTGTGCCAAATGAAACCATTTCCCAGCCATTTGTTTAGTGAATATATTTGAAGAAAGGAGTTTAAAAAATGGGTCATGGACCCTTATATGAGAGATTGAGTAGTAAGACCTAATTGTTCAACTGTTTATTTTCACGAAAATAGACAAGATTTTTCCTTAATTCCAGTCAACATGGAACCATTGTTAATGGCAGACAATAACTAGTGTGACTTCGAATTACCGACTGTTAATTTTTACAAAAGTAGCCAAGTTTCTCAAGTTTGTAATCTGTCATTTCAGTCAACATGGGACCATTCTTTCCAAGAAGGGGCCAAAAACTGTTATCTTCCAAGTCTAATGTACGCCCACCGCGGCCACAGTTCCAGATGCTCCTGCATAACAACCAGCTGGAGGCTACAAAGGTAGGAGATTGATTGCAGGAAATTTGAAAATAGTGAAGGGTTAATAAAAATCATATATTTTAGGTGAGCCTAGATGTATTTAGTTCATGCGTAAAGAAGGTTATGAAGATTATAAAACATCAAGTTGAGATGATATGAACACGTTTTTTTTTAGTCGAGATATAGATTCAGTGTGTGTGTGTGTGTGTGTGTGTGTGTGTGTGTGTGTGTGTGTGTGTGTAGTTAAAACAGTGACCCCATTTAACTCTTGGAAAAGTTAGTCTAAGAATTAATCGGAATCACCCTGATGTACTGTTCAGTAGTATAAATGAGTGAATTTAAGTTAAAGGTTGAGCAAAATTACCTGTGGTGATTCAATTTAAAAAAGCACTCACCTGGATGAGGTAAAAGGTGTTGCAGGAAATTAAACCAAAATATATCACTGAATTAACTGTTTGTGCTTTATTTACTAAATTCTTTATCAATAACCCTTATGAAGAAATCTGCGATTTTGGCTTCTCCAGGGTGTGGATGAATCCTATGACCAGGCCCTCCAGGAGTTCTTCTGGCCGTACTTCAGCTTTGTTGACTTGATCTGCAGGGTGGCAGTCAACCAGGAGAATATGACAGAGATGGTCATCAACCTTAGTAAGTAATTTTGTATGACATAAATACTTAATTCCCATCAAAGTGTAGAAACAAAGAGTTTACTGCAATATTTTTGACTGCAAGGGTCAGATGCACCCATGGAAGTAAAGATCCCCCATGGGAGTAAAGAACAAAAAAAATTCTCAGACTATGATGATACTGAGAGGATTGTGAAGATCTTTAAATTATTTTCCTTTAATTAGTATTGCCATATAAAGGAGAATAATAGATATACCTAAGATATGTGTTTGTGTTAATTTTTATGTACAGACACAGATGTGTCTGTACATATTGCCATCACCTGCATCTGATGCCGATGCCGATGCCGTCGCCGTGCACTTTCCTTGTAAACACGATAAGTGGAACACAGTTTTACCTTTTGGCTTTATATTTACAGAGCTGATGAATATTCATAAAATGCAGGTCAAGTTCGAAAATCAATATGATCGGGCCATTATTGTAGAAGTTATGCTGTTTTGTCACTTTTCAGCATATATGCAACACTGTAAACACATTTAAAAGAAAACCAATAGGCCTGTTGTCATGAAACTTACAGGAGTACTCAATCTTACTAAAATGCAGGTCAAGTTCGAAAATCGGCATGATCGGGCCACTATTTTAGTACTTATGCTGTTTTTTCATTTTTCAGCATATATGCAACACTGTAAACACAATATAAGAAAAACAGAAAGACCAATTGTCATTAAACTCACAGTAGTGGTCAATCTTACAAAACACAGGTTGAGTTCGAAAATCAGCATAATCGTGCCATTATTTTAGAAGTTATGCTGTTTTTTCAAATTTCCTCAGATTCAATTCTTAGGCATGTTAACAGTCTCATTATTTAACTAATAAGATACGTAAAAGTGTTTGTTTGACATATCCTGCATCTTTACAACATTGTTAGTTGATTTTGTAAAAATGATGGTGAACTTGTTATCGTGCATTGTGTAATAAAGTTTCAAAAATGGAAATAAACTCATATCATTTCAGTTTGTCAGATTGAATCATTCACTATGTTCAGAATCTCAGACTGGAGGAAATTGGACATTTAACATTATTCTATTGATATTTTTCCTATCTCATCAATTTTCTTAGTTGATCATATAAAAATGGCAGTAAACTGTTAATTTTGTTTTATGTTAAAAAATTGTTAAAAATGGGAAAACACCCATTTCAGAACAGTGCTGTCTTGTTTACATTTTGGCATTTTCAAGGTGTGACTTTGACGTTCCATGGGCCTGAAGACCTTTGCTAGTCACATTTTCTGAATATCCATGATACTAATATTTTATTATTAAAAATTGATGGTCATTATGCTGTTAAACATTATGTAATATTGCATCAAAATTTGAAGAAACCCCTATTTTTGGCACTGCTTCCATGATGACCATGTAAGGAAAACCATGTCACTTACTGTTCTTAAACTTACAGGAAAGAAACACGGGACTAAAATACAGCTTCAGTAAGCAATGCAGTCTTTTTGGTAAATTTTTTCTGGCAATTAAACAGTTTTTTTTGTGAAAATTTAACTTTTCACATATTGGCATTTTCAAAGTGTGACTTAGAACCTCCACGGGCTTGAAGACCCATGCTAGTCACATTTTCTGAAAATCCATTATACATATATTTTATTATTAAAAGTTGATGGTCATTATGCTGTTAAGCATTATGTAATATTGCATTAAAATAGAAGAAAACACAATTTTTGGTGCTGCTGCCAAGATGACCATTATGGGAAAACCATGTTACTTATGATTGTCAAACTTTCAAAAAAGAAACACACTAAAATGCAGCCTGAGTTGGAAAAGCAGTCTTATTGGCTTCTTTTTTTAGTGAAATATTCATTTTTTTCGTGTTGGCATATTGTGGGACTCGGAGCTCCCATGGACATGAAGCTGAATGGTAATCAAATTTTCTACATGTCCATGCTATTTGTAGTCAATAATCAAAAATTGGTGATAATTATTCTGTAATATATTACGTAATGTTACATCAAAATGGACAGAAATTGTTTTGCACTGCTACTACAAAAATTATTAAAAGAAAACTGTGTTACTTCTTATTTTTAACTTACAAGTATGATTTTTATGTACAGACACAGTCTGTACATATTGCCATCACCTGCGTCTGTCGTCGCCGATGCCGATGCCGATGGCAATGCCGTCGCCGTGCACTTTCACTGTAAACACGATAAGTGGAACACAGTTTTATTTTTTGGTTTTATATTTACAGAGCTGATGAATATTCATAAAACGCAGGTCAAGTTCGAAAATCAGCATGATCNGGGTTATCATTTATTATTGAATTTATGCAATTTTGTGTAAAATTTTCATTTTTCTCATTCTGGCATTTCCAAAGTGTGAACTTGAACTCCCATGGGCCAGAAGCCTTATGCTTGTTACACATTTTACTTACCTTGGTATTACCTGTTGAGCATAATTAAAATTTGATATTGAATTTGTAGTTAAGCATAATGTATTTTTACATCAGAATTGACAGTAGCCTATTTTTTGCATTGTTATTTCCTGCTTTTTGTCTGTACATTTGACAGCTTTGCTGCCTTGTTTCTCATTATTACCTCCGCCAAGGAGGTTATGTTTTTACCCCTGTTTGTTTGTTTGTCTGTCTGTCATCATAACTCAACATAACTGAAAAGTTATAGACCAATTTTGATGAAATTTTCAGGAACTGTCAGAAGTTGGCCAAGGAACAGATGGTTAGTTTTTGGTGGTGATCCGGATCAATAATCAATCAATAATCAATAATAATCAAAAACTAGACTGCAACTGGCTTAAGCCAGTGGCCAAGGATTCCCCTGCAAAAAAGGGGTGTGGAAAGGCTCTTACAAGGGCATGTGAAGGTCATGGGTAAAATTTGACCCCATATTCTGAAAGAGCATGTGCGAATGGGGGGGGGGGAGGGGGGCGGGTCAACAAAACATACTTTTAGCCCACTTCAATATTTCTCCATGAAATAGCCTAATGACCTTGAAAATGAGGGTCAAGGTCAAATTTGACATTTGATTTAGAGGTTTTGGGTATATGTTTGGGGTAGTTTACTGCCATGACCAAAAACCAGTGTTTCATGGAGAAATTGCCAAACACAAGATTTCTGCAATGTCATAAATATTTAAAAATCTATATTAAAAAAAGTAATTAGGCAGTCGCTACCAAAGTATGGCTAACCTAAGATAAATATATAGGGCATCATTTGCCACTATGATCGGGGCTCTGGGCCTTCCGGTTTTTGAGATCTCGGAAACAAACCTTTTTTGAGCCCGTTTGGCAATTAGCGACCTTGACCTTGACCTACTTGCATAAATGTAGGTCATTATCTGTGGATTTGGCTCAGTATTATTGGCCATAAGCTCCTTAGCCATATGGCTTATACTTTAGGCCTAATGGCAATTTCAAATTTTACAAATTTTGCCTTTAAAAGCTCCTGTGACCTTGAAAAGTAGGTCAAGTTCACTGAAACTGGGTCTATGGCATATTCTTACCATAGGCTACCTATGTAAATTATTTCAGATTTTTTGCGAAAAAAAACGCGCAGAAAGAATAACTATAATAATAATACTACCAAAAACAATAGTATTCCCCTATGGGGAATCCTAATTACTGCCTTGGTGATGGTCTGCGCTCTCGGGGTGTTTTTCTAGTTTACAAATAGTTTTTTAAAGATGCATATCAAGCTAGTAGAAACTGTCTGGTAAACATTGTAAATTTACTAGTATAACAAATAAAAATATCACAGGGTTTCGATTATTATTTCCCTTCATTTCATTTTTGGTTTCATTATGAACCAGAGGGACCATTCCCACAGATATTTGGATTGATCTACCTCCCTGGGGAGTCTCACTAAATTGCTATCAACTTAACCGGCTTAAATGTCTGTCACGCCTAGTAAAACTGTTAGGGGGTAATTATCTTTACATCCTAGCTTGACAGACATTTAAGCCGGTTAAGTTGATAGCAAATTAGTGAGACTCCCCAGGGAGTTAGACCGATCAAGATGGATCAATCTAGGCATGGGAACCCAGTCATAGAGGGGAAGAGAAGCAGGTCAAGTTTATGACAAGAAATATGAAGGTGCAGATTTAAAGCCTTTTATTGACTGACTGAGTGATAACTGTAAGCTTTTTTTTTTTTTTTTTTTTTTTATTTTACTCAAATTATAAGAGAAACTGGAAGTAGTAGTTTGTATGTATTACAGGGAATGAACACAGCTGTACTCTTGCTTGTTATGTATTTTAAGACATTACTATATCATTCCTGTCAGAAATAAGTGATTCATAAAGAAGTATTGTGATATTAAAATTGTACTGCAGTCCTGGAATTTTTGTGCTGGAACCTTTCCATATGAGTATACGACATAGTGATGTGTAAAATATATAAAAGTTTTTTTTCCTTCTGTCAAGTAAATCCAGTCAGTGCATCAACCAGTTTATTACACATCATTTTGATTTGCATGTTGTCCATAAATTCAGCACTGGAAATTGCATTGCTAATAGCTATTGTCTCACGCACTGAGCGTCCTTTCACCCAAACCCGACCATTCATTCCTATGGCAACTTCAAATGGTAGGTGATGTCCCAGTGTTTTTAGGAGATTGCAGTCTGATGACAACAACCTGAAATATTGAAGTAAGAGAATAATATATCACAGTGGCGGATTTAGGGAGGGGTCAGGGGGTCAGGGAGGGTCCTAACCCCACTTCAATATCTGAAAAAAATCACAACAATGGTTCCCTTTAGAAATTAGAATTTTGACTAGCTGAATCACAGTTCTAAACCATACAAATGGAACTGTTTGCCCTCAAATTAGGTAAATTTTCGAGGTCCTCCACCAGTGCCTGCACCCCATGCTGAGGAGGGGGGGGGGGGGGGGGGGGGGTT